CCCAGGTCCTACCTCCCAATATACCAAAGACACCAATACCCCCAAAATAGCAAACTGAGAAGCCAGTATGGAATTATAATAAGGAAAAGGAAACATTAGCATTAATCTACGGGTAATTACAAAATAAATTCAGTTCATAAAACAACAGCTAGAGAGAAAAGGGGGACAAAATAAAATGGCTTCCTAGTTGCTTAGGAAAGAAACTACTTTCAGTGGTCAATTGAATTACTGATAAGATTAAATACATTAGTTATGTTCTGTTGTTATGAAAAGATCCAGTGACCAGTTCAAATCTTTTAAAGCATATTATCAGGAGCTTGCAATTCAAGGGACTTAGTCCATTACCATCATGATTGATGCGGTGCTGGAGAAGTAGCTGAGAGCTTTACATCCTGATCCTGCAGCAAATGGGCGAGAACCCCTGCAGCTGACATAGGGTTTTATAACTTTAAAGCCCACTCTAGTGATGTAACTTCCTCCAAAAAGGCCACAGCTACTCCAAAAAGGCCATACCTCCTATTTTTTCTAACACTTTAGTCCTCCCCTGGGGACTAAACATGCCAATATATGAACCTATGGGGATCATTCTCATTCAAATCACCACACTGAAGACTAATTAAAGATGGAAGTATTGATGACCCTAAAAGTGAAAGTTTCAACTAAAGTTTGGATTGCAATCAACTTTCAGTGAAGTAAGAAATGTTTAGATGATATGGCATACTAAGTAGTAAGTGATGTGTGCAGTGTGCCAAGGACAGTGGTGTATGAGATGTGTGTTGTCTATAGGCAACTTCCAAACATCAATACAATTGACTGAAGTCTGCCTGCTTTATCTGTGTGTGTATTATACTTAGCAAATTTGAACAGTTTAGGGTTAAATTTCCCTTCCTCTTAGGTACTGTTATAAGTTTTATAGTTCAGATAAGCAATGAGTCAAAACAGAAAGACTTCATTAGACTAAGGCAATTTGTAAACACTTGCATAATAAAAGGAAAGTGTCAGCCCACTGTAAATGCTCACAAAGAGTAGACAGTATCATCAAAAACTCAATTAGCCATGGAGTGTGTACAAACTGCAGGAAGGAGGTAGCTGTTCATAGAATTATGGCATTTGATAACCCAGAAGAAGAATCCTTGAATAATTGCTTTTTATAGATAAAATGTAGATTTAATTTATACATTAACTCACAAATTTGTATTAAGTAGTTGTTCTATTTTTAATTTAGATTAACTGGCATATTAGACTATTTAGATTATTATGCCTGTTTTTGAAAGTGAAGTTTGAGCTAGAATATCAATATTCTGAGTGTGACTATGTCTGACTTATTTCCAGGATGTCTTGCATAGTAACTTACATGCATTGTGCTGGCAGGTACCTTGTAATTGCTGTTTCACTAACACATTCTGTACCTATACTTATTTCACACAGGTAACAAATACTGGGTGTTCAAGGATACAACTCTTCAACCAGGTTACCCTCATGACTTGATTACCCTTGGGAATGGAATTCCCCCCCATGGTATTGATTCTGCCATTTGGTGGGAAGATGTTGGCAAAACCTATTTCTTCAAGGGGGACAGGTCAGTACTTACGGGACACACTGCAGACATAAACATTAGCAGGTACCTAGTGATTTGAAAAGTCAAGAACCCTACTCAATGATAGACATTACTGTAAATAATGACATATTTGTATATAAATACAAGAGTTAGTATACCAGAAACATTGTCAGTGTGTTTTATATATTTAAGAAAAATTTTCATTGACTACATTTATCTAATATTACTCACTTACGAATTCACTATATTATTCTTCTGCCCTTGATTTTAACATGCTCTTTAAGCTCCAAATAAATATATGTGTAAACACATATATGCATGTGAATGTTTATCCCTGTTATAGATTTGGAAATTGCAGTTTCACTTGAAATATAAGTAGCTGGACCACAGAATTATTCTGTTTCCATTGTTCATAGAGTCACTTAATATGCTGTTGTACAATTTTATAAGTAAATATATTAATATTTAAATATTTTAATTAAATTTAAATAATTTAAAACATGGCAGTTAGATTTGCTTTAATCCTATGAAATGTCCATTACTTTAGGAGAAAAATAACTGAAGGCTATAAATTTTGTTCATTTTGTTGTTGTTGTTGTTGTTTTTCGAGGCAGGGTTTCTCTGTGTAGCTTTGGAACCTATCCTGGCACTCACTCTGTAGACAAGGGTGGCCTCAAACTCACAGAGATTTGCCTGCCTCTGCCTCCCAAGTGCTGGGATTAACGGTGTGTGCTACCAAAGCCTGACAAGTTTATTCATTTTAACATTTACAAATTTTACTTGCAAGAAAATCTAAACATTTAGCTACTTGAAAAAAAGGTAAAATCTCAAATTAGGTTCCTATGGATAAGAATGTCCAGTTATAGATTCATTGTGCTTCTAAATTTATGTGGGTTAAATTTTATTGCAAAATGCCATACATTATAATTCATTATAAGAAAGTTAGGGCTTTCCTAAAACATTTCTAAGTGAATCATTAACAAAATGATCCATCAAAGATGTGTAAAGTAGTCTTGGAAAGTAGATCACATTCCACAGAATAAAAGTTGATGTGGATGGAATAGATGAAGGACTTTATTAGAAAAGGATAATTATCACCAATAAAAGCTAACCGCAGATTGACAACACATTCCCTTGTTGTTGTTATCCTTGATTTGATAAATGTTCTCCCTTTGTGGCCTAGGTTGACTTTGAACTTGAAATCCTTGTTAAGCCTCCTAAGTGCTAGAATTATAAGCATATATCACCAAGCTTACCTAATTCTAACTGTTAATGAAGACAATATGAATATGAGACAGTCCATTCATTTTCAGTAAGTTTAACATGCCATATTGGTCCTGATCAAGAACTTATTGGTTTGTTTAAAAATTAATTTTAGTACATGCTAAATGATGAATCCTAAATACTAAAGACACAAAAATAGAAAAGAACCCAAGGCTCCTCTTATAACCCATGACACTTTATTCTTTTGGGAGAAGTGAATAAGAAACTATAAACAAACCAGTCACCTTGACAGTTTTCATATTGAAAAGTGACACAAAGCAGTACAATAATATTATAATGAAACCAAGATTTATGAGTGCTGATATGGTCAAATTTCAGGACCATGTGAAATGACTTCTGGATATAGCTGGATTTCAGTGTCCTGCAATTTATCACTGAAACAATTACTCCAAAGTTTGTATATCTTTTTTCCTATTTCTTAGGATAGAAAGCATTTTTTATTTGAATTTTACTTAAACATTTAGATTTTATTTAAAATTTCTAAATTTTACTTAAATTTTATTTCGTGTTACATGTAAAACTTGGGGTTTTGGGGGGTATGACTCTTACACATGCCTGAAAACTGATTCGTATTTGTGGTAATGATTTATTTTGGAATCTTGACTAAGTATGCTTATTTCAGATAATGTCTTAATTAGTCTGAGATGGCACAGTGGTTAAAGATGCTTTCTGTTCAAATTATCTATGTTTAGTTCTCAGCATATGCATTGGATGGATTATAAGTGCTTGGAACTCTTGCTCTAGGGTATTTCATACTCCTGACACACATGCAGGATAGATTCACACAAACACATACATATAAATAAGTCTTAAAATTTATTTTCCTAATTAATGTCAGAAGTAAGAAAAAGAGACAACTGTCAAAGCTGATTACAAAGCTATAATGTTGTGCCAATATAAACCTTTGGTTTTAATATTTCTCTATGAAAACACATAGCTTTCAAATCCCTTAACCTGTTTTATTTACAATGTTAAGGTCTGGATATGCCTTTTAGCTCTTAATGAATCCAAAAGTTCAGTTTTCAGGAGAAAAACAAAGTGCTTGTTTTTTTGTGTTGGTGTTGAAAATATCTAGGAAATTAAAATAGCCACTTGTGTTTATTAGTCCAGTAATTTTTGTAAGACAATGTGAATATGGTTGAAAAGTTCAAATCCCATTGAGGCTTGTGAGGTATATATCAAAACTGACATACAACAGTTTAAGTTCACTTCCTTAAATTGCAAATGATCTCAAATTCTACTTTCCATTCCTTTCAAGGAGAGGCGAAATTTATTTCGACAAATTCACCCAAAATTATATTCTTATATGTAGTTTCTATTAAAAATTTGCACTTCTTAAATAATTTCTGGAAATGTGATTGCTATGACTGTTCCATGGCCTGTAATATAAGTGTTTGGATTAATATAGGGGCTGAGTGTTATAGGAATAGTCAGGAGGAAAAAAATATCTCAAAAAAAATGAACACCAATACTTGAAGGAATACAGAGTTTAAATGGCTAACAAAATTGTCATAGGCATGCTGTGTCTATGAAAGTACTGGCAACAGCATGGTCCTACATCACATTGAACTATGAGCTGATGAGTTGGTTTAAATTTAAATTTCATATTATTAAAACAGAGGAAATATGACTTAGGTTCCAGTGTTGCATCATTGATTCAACTGGGTGCCATAGCTGCTATAACTATTGATTGTACAATATCACAGGGGACTTAATTACAATTTAAGTGGAGATCATTGAGGAATTTAAGTGTAATAAAATGTAAAATGATGTATTGTGTGTATTCACTCTATAGGTATAACACCTGTATAAAGTGTATATATTATTATTATATTGAGGGCTGTCATAAACCTAATCTGATTTCTGAGAGTTTAATGTTAGTAAGTGGCCATGCTATCCACAGGATCTTAAATTTTCCTCGTAATGTTAGTTTGATGCTTTAAATTTCACTTTAACTTATAGTTATATCATCTGCAAAAGAGTGCATGTGTCATGTTCCAACAAAAAGTTTTTAATCCTATCCCAATTGCAAAGTGTGTTCTTACATCTATACGTTCAATATTTTATGGAAAATGTGTTCTCAGTATAAATGCTATTAAGTATTGCCTTATTTCTCTATCATATATTGTACTTGGTTCAGTGAAGGAAACAATTATATTTGACTTTAAATTCTCCTGAAATATTTACTCAAAGGTGATCTTTAGATTATGTCTGGGTTCATTTCCCATGGCCGTAGTAAAAAATTCCCTGGCAAAAGTAGCTCAATAGGAAGTTTGTTTTGCCTAACAGTTCAAGTGCCAATTCATCTTGTAGAAATAAAGGAAACAGACAATTGAAGAAGCTGAACATATTGCATTCACAGTAAAATACCAGAGAGCAAGTCTTTATAGTTCTCAAATTGTATTCTTCACTTTATACAATGCAGTGTCCCCTTCTTCAGAGAACTGTCCCACACACAAATAACAGTTAGTGTGGTTAAGATAATCAACATTAAGTATTCCTGGAGGCCTAGCTGGAGTTACCAGTCAAGTTAAGAACTAACATTATCCATTAGAGAGTATAAGTGGTTAAGATCTCATTACCTAAACCTGTAAAATGACTGGTTCTAACTCACTCCTGGTCTCTTAGTTCTGATCCCTCACTGCTGCTCTCTCCCTCCTGCTCTCTCTCTCTCTCTCTCTCTCTCTCTCTCTCTCTCTCCTCTGCTCTCTCTCCTGTGTTATCTCTCTTTCTTTCTCTCCTGCTTTCTCTCCTGCTCTTTCTCATGTTCTCTCTCCTGCTCTCTCCCTGGTGTTTGCTGTTCCTCTCATTTCTTGCCACAAATAGCAATTGTTTCACAAAGGAATTACTTACTAATGTGTTACTTTATAACACTTTATGCCTTGCGCTCTTCACAACAGTTACTGGTTCATATCATTTTATATCTCCATCAGTAATTTGGTTTGTTGTATTTATAATCACATATCTAAAATTCTAAGGTTAATAAAATCTTGTCTGTCCTGTTTAGGAATATATCTTTATGACCATCAAGATTTAACCTCTATATGTGTCTATCTGAGCATTCATAGGTGTATATATGATTTTTTGGTCATAACCTCATGAATTAAAAGTTTACTTGGATTTATTTATGCTCTTATGATTAATAACTTTAAAAGATTGAATACTCATTTCATCATATAAGGGATATAGATAATAATACAATGCAAAAGACAGAATAAATTTTATGTCAGTTATCATTCCATTGATTTCAATCACTTCTTTTAAGTCAGTAACTGGTGAATAAGCATACAGCAAGCTTTACAGAAAATATAAATACCCGCCTGTATGGTTGTGTTCATCTAATTTTAGATATTGGAGATACAGTGAAGAAATGAAAACCATGGACCCTGGCTATCCCAAGCCCATCACCATCTGGAAGGGGATTCCTGAATCACCTCAAGGAGCTTTTGTCCACAAAGAAAATGGTACACAGCACAGGCACTACTCAGCACCTGAGTTTCCTATTTTAATATCATACTGTTTTATGTTAAAAACTAATAATTTGAACATACTATACTAGAACTATGCATTAATTATATTCATATTTAAACTTCCTATTAAAATTTATTATTCATAAGATTTTGTATGTAATATTACTCTCTGGACAGTTTTAAATTTAATTCATTTACATTGATTTAAATTTATTAGAAGAAAATATAAGTAGTAGTTTACTGTTGAAGAATATATATTTTTAATAACTTTATATACATAGCGATTAAAATTCCTGAAAATACAACAAATGTGCATGGGACAGGAATTTGTCCCAAAGACTGTGTCCTGAGTTCAGTCAATTACAAAGGCACATTCTTCTAATCCATGCTTAGCTGAGGACTCCCTTCAACACAGTCAGACTAGAATGAATGGATGGATATCATCATAAGAAACAACATATATGCCCTACCCATTATGTTTGATAATATAAACACAGAAGACAGGACATTAAAATGATTGCTCTAGGTTACTCTTCAACCATTGCAAAAATCTGCTATTAAGAGTCTTCTCCTAATAGTGATTTATTTTAATACATAAACAAAATTTTAATATTTGTCACATTGTTTCTAGGTGAAACATGTCACTTCTAATATCTAAGTATTAATTTTAATTCTTCCTTATCAGCCATGAAAAATAAATCCTGATTCCATATGAATGTTTCCTATGTAACAAACATAGTTCATAAATTAATTTTATTGTCCAACCAAAAGACCTCTTCACCCAAAGTCAGTTGTGGTAAATAGCTTATTTTTGAAAATGTTATATGTATTCCTAAAACTTGATACAAAAGAATTTAACACCATTGAATGTGGTCTAACACACTCTCTACAAGGAAGATAAGTTGTCAAACTTTCCTCACTACATTAATCTAATCAGTGACCTATTTTATCTTTCTAAATTCTTTACTTGGTTCAAACTAAGTTAGTGCTAAATCTAACTTCCTAAGGAATCATATTACTTTAAGCTCTAATAGCCGTAATTTTTTCTTTCTTTTGTTGTCATTATTGCTTCTTTTCCTCTTTACTCTTATCCTGTCCTAAGTAACTGCTGTAATCCAAATCCCATTTGTTCTTATCACCAAAAGTTTAAATGACTTCCTCTTATTCCTCATTCTTCAACTTTGTTTTAAACAGCTTGATATGTTTTTAATTATCCTAAAATTATTGCAGAAAATTAGACACTCCTTCAAATTATTCATATATTGCAGACTACTGAAATATTTTATTTATTTTTGCAATTTTAGTTTAAGTAAATCCAAACTGTTTTTAACATTTGTGTCTCAGTTTACTGTGTACAGCCTTGTACTTATTTGTTAATGGAGTTCTGTCTCTTGGTTCGGTTGATTAAATGTTTTAATTATGCAACTCACTACTTCCTGTTAAAATCTCCAAACGCAATTTGCATACGTTTTTTTGTAAGGATCACTCTATCCATTAATTTATTTTAGCATTAATTAATATCATCAATAAACAAGAAAGAGGAGAGAATAGAACACAGGGTCTTACCTAGAAATGTTGCACCAAGGTGGCCTATTTCCTTGTTTTATGAGGACAAAACAATAAGAAATGATCCAGTAAAGTCAAAACAAATATAAATGCAAACAATATATAAAATGCTTTGCATTATCATTAATTTATTTCTTAAAAGTTTTCTTCATAAAAAGTATAACTAAGAATGGAACAGTGAGGCTATTTTTTAGTGAGTAAAACAGTTGAAAATTTATTCAACTGATATTTCATAAGTGAAGATAATAAGCCCAAATTATTACAGATGATTAGAGAAAAAAAATTGACATATGTGTGTTGCAATGATTTCAGATTACCTCTTTTAGTCCTTCTGACTAACTTTATTATTCTAACAAATATATTCCTATATTCCCATGCTCAAAATTTTTACTATAATATTGAAATTTTAGACTGGACATTATGAAAGGGGACTCTTCTGAACTTCGCTGTGCTGTCCATTACCATTATAGTAATTATTCGTTGCTAAAAATTAAAGATAAGACAAATGTAGCTGTTACCCTCCTATTTATAGCCATAAGCAGTACTTTTGCCTAATTTGAAGATCTAATTGTGAATCAATGACATGTTTCATCTGTGATCATCTCATAGTTCATTTGACAGTTCATCAGCATTTCTCATCTAAACTAACTAAATAAGTAAAGTACCCTGGATTTCATTAGAGTTACACTAGTTCCCTTGCTGAATAAACTGAGTCTATATTGCTCCTACTTTCCTTAGGCAAGTTGCTATGACTGAATAACTCTTCTTCAAAGTTAAAAGCCACAACAGTCTTTTACAGCACTGAACAAAATAATGTCCAATACGAAGTAACCAATGAGGACCTATCTGTCATACCTAAAATTTCTTGAGTTTGCAGAATTCTTTCTCCTAGGAGTGATGCCTATCTGACCAGTGGTGTTTAAGAATCAAAACCATGTGTTATAGCTCTAACTGTGGAAAAGTGTTTAAGCCTTATTTGTTCTTAATCATATGTTTTTGCCTCTGAACCTCAATATACCTCAAAAACTAAGAATAGGAAATTAATTCTTCTTAATAGTGGAGGAGTTATGAAAGATAAAAGCAGTACTTTTAACAAGGAAATTTTCCATACTAACAACATACAATAAAAGTCATCACTTTGAATTCTTAAGCTGTAACATTCTGTTCAAAGTAAGTAACTCCCAAAATATATTTTTAAATTACTATAGCATTTTTCTGAATTTTTTGCTGCTGTTGCTGCTGCTGTTTTGTTTGTTTGCTTGTTTTAGTTTTGTTGTTGTTGTTGTTGTTTGAGTTTTACCTAAAAGCAAAACCAAGTCTAAGTAATACAATCACAAACTTCACTGCCATCTTACAATACTGGAAAATATTTCTAAGAAAATCTACATGTTTGTGTATGTTAAGAGCTTTAGAACATCTATTATTTTTAACCATAATATTTTGGATCATAGATTACTGAATTATTTGAAACTTCTTTATATCAACTCTTCGTGGATGAACTAGAAATATTACTCTGATATATTAAGATAAAATTGTGATTTGTTTTCTCTTTATTTCTAAAAATTTTAATAGTGAATTTAAAAAATCTGAAAGATGTACATATGTGGAACAAATTTAGGACAAAATAAGTAGGTATGACAAATGAAAACAACAAATGGAGAAAAGACAAATTAGGAATGACCTACAGCCAGAAATGAGGTTAGAGCACAACATGCTATAAATACATGTGTTCTTGTTAAAAATTTCCAATAGACAAAAGAAAATACCTAAAATCCACTTAATTGTCATGATTTCTTATCCAAATAACAAAGGGGAACCTTTTGTTTAAGAAGATCACAAAAACTACCAATACTGAGATATTAAGAACTTTCCCTGACTTGTGAATAGGTGAGAAATTTCTTCATTGTGCATTGAACAATCTCTTCAGTGGCACTTTGATGATCAGCAATGGCTTAATTTTTCAAGCAATTCAAAATTCTCAGATACAGGTTAATATACTAAAATCTGATGTGAATTATGTGATAGTACTTCTAAAAGCCAGAAAAAACCTAGCACTGTCTTTACAATCCACAATAGGAAAGGATATAGATAACCTGCCACCCAAATACTTAAGTCACAGATTTCTTAGACTTCAGAACATATGTGCCAGGCTTGGTGACATATACTTGCAACCCAAGCATTAGGGAGCCTGAAGCAAGAGAAATAATTGCCCTATATTTGAGGCCACCCTGCTCTCTATAGAGAGTGCTAGGCCAGCTTGGGGGCCAGACTTAGACCTTTTCCCAAATGGAAGTCTTATGGAGGGAGGGAGGGAGGAAGGGAGGGAGGGAAGAAAGGTGGGAATAAAGGAACAAAGAAGGGAGGGAGGTTGAGGGAGAGAGGAAGGAGGGAAGGAAGGAAGGAAGGAAGGAAGGAAGGAAGGAGAGTGAAAAGGCACAATTCCTGGAACACAGCACCCTGAGCCTTTGTAATACAGTTGAGCTGAGGATTGTGTTTTCTTCTCTGAGAACTTAAATGGGCTTAAGATCCTAAAACACATATTTTGAGAAGTAGTCTATTTCATTAGTATTTATATGTATATAATGACCACAGTAAGTTATCCCTGTGTATGTATGTTTCTCCCCCAGGATTTACCTATTTCTACAAAGGAAAGGAGTATTGGAAATTCAACAACCAAATACTAAAAGTAGAACCTGGGTATCCGAGATCCATCCTCAAGGATTTTATGGGCTGTGATGGACCAACAGACCGAGATAAAGAAGGACTCAGCCCACCAGATGATGTAGACATTGTCATCAAACTGGACAACACAGCCAGCACTGTGAAAGCCATAGCTATTGTCATTCCCTGCATCTTGGCCTTATGCCTCCTTGTATTGGTTTACACTGTGTTCCAGTTCAAGAGGAAAGGAACACCCCGCCACAGCCTCTACTGTAAACGCTCTATGCAAGAGTGGGTGTGATGTAGGGATTTCTTTTTATTTTCTTTTCAAGGAGTTTGTGGTAACTTGAGATTCAAGACAAGAGCTGTTATGCTGTTTCCTAGCTAGGAGCAGGCTTGTGGCAGCCTGATTCGGGGCTGACCTTCCAAATCTAGAGGGTTGCTGAGCCTGCACATGAGTGGAAATACATTCATGGAGAAGCTTCCATGATGCACAGTACCTGCTGTTCTTCAGTCCTCTGTCTTTCTTTGTCATTCAGTTGTAGGCCTTTCCTCTGCACGCGCAATGCCCAGTCAAATTTCAGGATTAACTGAAGAAGAGGAAATATAGAAGAAAAGTTTCTTCTTAATTTTTTAAAAATACTTTTCCTTCTGAAATCTGAGCCCATTTCTGGGAGAAAGAGAGAGACAGAAAGAGAGAGAGAGTAAACAAAAAGAGCAAATCAGAAAACCCTTAGGTTTTTGCTTTAAAGCAAAAGGAGAAAGAGTTTTAAAAACAACAAAAATCCACAATTGAACTTTCAGGAAAGTGTGAAGACCCAAAACAGCTTTGTCTCCAAAGAAGATAGCTCTGTGACCACTATGGATAGTCTCCTGCACTCCGTTTTTTCAGGTGGGAGATATGGAACAGACATGCAGGACTCTAGACTGTTGGGACAGCCATTTTCCAACAAACAAGGGGCCAAAATATCTGCAATATAGTAACAGCCTTAATAATACATGCATTTTTCGTTTTCTACAGCTGTTCTCAGCTATGTCCACAATGTTTCATCACTTCCATACTCATAGGTGTTTTCAAACAGGACCTTTTGATTGTTTTGAAATGTTTCCGAACCCCCTCTTGCCTCCTGATCCCAACATCATTGTGATGCTCTCCCCAGTTGTGTTGGGCCTTTGTCCCAGGCCTTTCGTTGGTCTGTCAGCAATACTCAGCAGAAAGCAGAGCAAGAAGCAGTGTGTCTCTGAACTAATGGAGTGATGGTCATTTTATAAAGACATGTGACTCTGTTCGCACATCATCGGTTTAACCCTTTGAGAACTATCAGACCAGGCTACAGAGTCAGGTTGATCAGTGATGCCGTCTGGTCATTGGTAGAACTTTCCAACAGTGAAAGCCATCACAGATTCAACAAGTTCAGATTTGTAAAGCATATCCTAAATCCCATGTAATTCTTTAATGACTGGCAGCAACCTATAAATGCTTTTTATAACAAACAACAATGATGTGACTTGCCAAAATTTTTCTGGCAAATAAAAAAAGATATTTTGTTAACAGTATCTTATGAGAGTGAAATTTTATTTGAATAATTGGTTAGAATATCCGAAGCCCTTTCTTCTTCAGGCATATTGAATTTTTTATTTAAAATCCATTGCATGAAAATTCAATTTACCATAAATTATGCAGTTAGCATTGTGGGGTTCAAAAAGAATTAAAACAATGACTCTAAGTTTGCATGAATATCTTTCAATGCATTACCAATTGCATGTCAGCCATAGTTCTCAAAGGGTTGGTGTGGCTTCTGGCATTTAGCCATCCATTTGATCACTGACAGAGCCAAGAGACACCAAAGCATTCCATTGTTGAGTGTAATTTGTCCTAACAGCAGTATTGTCATTTTCATGTGACCTGCAGAGCAGGTTTGTATCAATATTTTTTTCCTAGAGAAAAGTCACCAACTGACAGACCTCTATTGATTTTAGGAGCTGCTTCTTGCAGTGAAAGGGTTTACAGCCACAGGGCTGTGAACTTATTAGAGATGGTCAGAAGGAAAGCACCCCATGAGTCAGACAATTGGCTTTGTGTGGAAGCCAGCTTTTGAGGGGATTAGCTTTTGAAACAATGAACAGCTTGCCTTGAACTTGATATTGATCTGTTGACTGTCATTACAACAACTTAAACATTGTCTTCTGTGAAATTTTTCCCTGAAGAGTCCCGTTATGTGTCTTTGCCCTTTGACCTTTAACTTGCAAACTGGCACAAACTGAAGGAAATCTGGTGTCACTTCTCCATTGGATTGTTATTCTCTAAAACCTAGTAAGCAAGAGCTGTTTCCTTGGAGTGGAGAGAGTTTGAGTATTGGATCTGCAGGTGGATGCTTTGCCCTCTACATGCACACTCTGAATATGCCCTATAGGTAGAGGTATTTTTAATTTTTTTCTTTAATTTCAAACTTAATTTCATCATTTTAGTAAAAATTACAAAAAAAACATAGGAAAAAAAAACCTCAAATACTTGAATGGCCAGTGTGGCTTTTATATGAAGCAGGAATTTTATACTAGTGAAAATTTCTTACTCATTTGCTAATAATACACATTTCCAGATGATTTTTAATGAGTGTAGGTATACATTCTTATTTGGAAATGGATAGTTTGGCTGCCTTGAATTTATATTTATACTCAACATAGCATGAAAATTAGAATGACTTTTGGTTAAACTACATGTTTATGATTTGGTTGGGGAAAATATTTTCTAATCATAGGTGGCATGCTGAAAAAGCCTTGCAAACTGGTGATTCCTACAATCTGAGCATATATTATGTAAGGCTAAGATAAAAAGAACAATTAAGAAAGAGGAATGGCTTTGTAGCACCTTGTTATGAAATGCAGATTATACTTCAATGGGACATCAAAGATTTTGAATGGAAGGGTCAGTAAGAAAGGGGAGGGCAAGGATCAGCCCTGTATCTCTACTTCAGAACTTCCTTTCTAGATGATGCTAATACTATAGTTAGTTCCTAAAGAGCATGGAGGACTGTATGCATAAGCCTGTTTATACAGTATTTGCTTGTTAGAGGGTTAATTCTTTCAGGACCTTGATGTCAAGAAAAAATGACTGGAAACTTTTCTCTAATGATAGAAATGAGGAACTGTAACATTTTGGGACTTGTGTAAATCATTGAAAAACTCCATCAACCTACATTGAACACTTTTGTCTCTAAAATCAAAAAGAAATCAAATAAGCAATCTATTGCCTCTTTACACATTCATCGAAGTACCCTGACTCGTCATAAGACTGTAAGTACCTAAGGGCTAGAAAATAATCATAGCATTGAAAAGGAAGGAATATTCATCATGCTTGAAATATGCCAAGCATCATGGATATGATTTGTGTTGTGTTGCCTTGAATGTGAGAAGTCTATGTACTTAAAAAAAGGCTTATATGTCTACTATCTTGACTAGGACACTTATAAGACCATGAGTGGTAAGAACTAAATACAATGTAATAAAAACCACTGGGGTTCCTTTGTTCGTTATATGCCAGGCGCTTCATTCATATGGTTGCTGATTCTTCTTACACTTGGGATTTTTAAATAAAGAAAAGAAAAAAATATGACAATGCTAAAGAAAGTATGAAAATGAAAATGATTAATAAATTTGTCATATTAAAATAACAATTAAAAATTATACAGGAAGTTTTCTGGATGAAAAACATGTCACCTGAATTTCAGTAAATATATGCAACAAATCAAGTTATTTTTCTGTCATCTCTAAGTGAGTAACATGAAATGCTCAGACCCACTATGTCCAAAACTGAAATGAAAACATATTCATGTTCATAAAATGATTCATGTTACATTATTTTTATTAATTTACCAAATATGAAAGACAACTGTCAACAAAGTGATGGTTTTACATAAAATGAATTCATAGGTTACAATTTCAGATAAATATTGTTTCTCTATCTATTATTAATCAGACTAAGTGAAATATTCAGATAGGTGATCAGTTTGAATTTTCTATAACATAGTAGTTCTGCATTAGTTCTGTAGAGAAAGTTATGATTTTAGGTACCTGCTAACCCATCTGAGAACCAAGGGTTCTGCAGAGACTGCAGCCACAGCAGGTGAAGACAGATGTTCACTGACATAGCAGAGGTTACAGAGCTCAATTAGAGAACAGTAAATGCTACTAGCAAATATAGTTTCTGTTCCTAATCAGAGAGCAAGGCTTTTCTCAACCAAATATAATAAATTATTAGGTAATAATCACTAAAAGCAATTACTGAGTATTAAAAGATAGAGACAGGTTACTGAAATAAGAAAATGTTACCTTTGTTACTCAAGCTACCTACAATCTCTTTTATCAACTGATAATTTGGCTTTTCAAATACTGTACATTTTTTATTTCATTTATGTGAATGATTACAATGCAATGTAGTGAATTAACATTGCCCAGATTCTACTGCTTGCTTGGTGTGATATCTGAATGAGGGTGTATGTACTGGATCCCAGGAAGAGTAATGTAATATTCTCAAGTTTTCCATGTTGGGATGATATCTCTAATATGTCACAAATTCAGACTCCTGTTATGTGGACGTTACAATTGAGTAACTGGTACGCCCATGTTAATCGAACTCAATGTGCTATCTGAAGAAGAATAGATGTTATGCTTTAATAGACATATTAAACTAAAGTCATGAAAATAACCAAGTTTTTAGGTAATTGGTATTTACTTCCAGAAACAAATAAAGGCAGTTATTTGCTGATAGTTTTGAGTCTGTGAGATTGTAGTATATAGTGTAATAAGCCTGGGGATGGTGATCAAATGTTTACAGTAATCACAGCACAATGTTTAATTTTTGACACCTTAAGATCACATTCCAAAATATCATAGACACAACATACCATACTTTAAATCACAAGTGTGACATTCAGATGACCTATGGCAAAGAACTATAAATGCAGTCTGCACTACTCTATGTAGCACAGAAGTGGTCAAGCAACTCATGTGGTAAAATCTAGTCATTGCTTCCCATGGCATTCACCTCCACAATACGGATGTACAACAACCACAGATAATAAGTGTCAGAGTCTAATGACAGGTTTGTTGTTGCCCAACAAGAAAGGAGAGATGTGCTGTAACATTTTAACAAGTCCCATTTTAAAGACTGAACTTAGTATATTAAAGAAACTAACAATAAAGGAGATCTTACCATTAATATGAATGCTACATTTTATAAGTAGAATGGGCAGTGGAGAAGGACAAAACAAGACTTTTGTAAAATATAAAGTCATACGCAAC